ATATGTGTCATGGACTTTCGCAAATGTTCGTCCTCCTTGACTTCACACCTTTAAGCCAAGCTGACCTGCCCATGGACCAAGCACCTAACAGCACCACTAACATTAATGGACAGACATGTTTGGGACCCTCCTCTCTACTGCCACTCTGTCTAGTTCCTCCTGTCTGCTGGCCTTCAGTTTGATCTTCTATAATAGTTCCCAACATGCCCCTGCCCTTTAGATTTGGTGTGGTATTTTCCTTAACTCTGACTCCAGCAGTCCCTCACACCAATTCAAATTCAACCCTCTGATGCATCCTTTTAATGACCCAGTGTGACTTCAATTACCTTTCCTTGAGGGGAATCTTTAACTCTCAAGACGCCATGGAGTGGAGAAGGGACTTGTGACCCTATCAAGTGCTATTCTGTAAGTCATACCAGAGATTCTCACAGTGGGCTCTGAGACCACCTACTTCATATCCCCCAGTTGGTGAGTGAGACTTATTAAAATGCAAAGACTCATGACCTCCAGAATTAGAATCTCTGAAGGTGGAGCCCAGGAACCTGACCTGTTAATAAGATCCCAAGGTAAGTCATAGGCATACTAAACAAATGTGATATACTTTAGTGCCGACACTTGTAGTTAGTTAGGTACTAGACGTTCTTGCCCAATTTTAAACTCTGATAAAATAAATTCCAATTATATAATGAAACCATTAAAAATGAAGAATTTAATGACATGAAAAGGTATTTATTTAATATTTACAATGATAGTTATGTTAGAATAATCAAGTCATCCCACTTTGAGTACAATATGGATGTTTGTATATGTACAGAATACAAGTCAGGAAGAATGTACCCTGGAAAATTAACCTGCATGGCAAAATTGTGGGTGTGAAAATTTATTTTTTTCACCTTTCTACATTTTCTACATTTTTTGCAACATGTATACAAATACATGTATATAATGTGATCTCCTTGAGAGCAAGGACTTTGTTTTTGTTGTTGTTGTCATTTTTGGTTTACTGCAGCAATTTATTTTTCCTTATACAATGATGTATTGGCTGGGACTTAACATTCTCACATAACAGTAGAAAAGCCAATATTTGTTCTCATCTAGTTAGCTGTTCAACAGGAAGAACTGCATCACACAATAATTTGCAAGAACCTGAATCAATCCCTTTTGCTAAAAAGACATGACATTATTCTTCATCTCTTACAATGTTTATGCACCAAAATTTACTTGATATAGTTCATAGGTGAACAAATGCTAAAGACAAGTGTGTATAAGGTGATTAGAAAGAAATAGACAATGTAGAAATGAAAGCATTCACTGGATTGGCCATTTGAATTGATGTTTTTATAAATCTAAAAAATGAAATGTTTTGTGATATGGAACAAAGAAGATGGTCATCATCTCTTTAAAGAAATAATAAGCCATCAACAAAGCTTTTTAAAGTATTGCATTTTAACAATTCAAGTGCAAGAACCAGAAGTAATGCTAAGCTAGAACCTATTAGAAATGTATTTGAAATCTGGAGTCAGCTATTCACAAGATGGATATGTTCCAGGTTCATGCATAACAGTTGGTGCACAGTTAGTTGGATTCAAATACACTCACACAGACACAAAATAAGCAAATATATGTATATCCTCAAATCTAAAAAATATGGACTAAAAATTTGGGTTTGCTATATCTAAATTCTTATAATTTCTAGTAAAGTTATTTTTACTATTCTCACTTCTACAAATTATTTATAAAATGATTCAAAGGATAGATAGATGGATAACAAATTTAAAAAGGGGGTCCACTGTACCCAAATGGTAAATGGTGATGATTATTTTTCCTGGTTTACTGAGGTTAACCGTTAGCGGTCTCATGGGATTCCTTGCTAACTAAGTTCCTCACTAGTTGAGGAAGGCTGAAATGGATTAGGTGTCCTCGGTGGGACACTGCCACACCGTCCCACCCCCGCTAAAGGGGTTGCGGGTGGGTGGAGGGAATGAGGCTCCCCCAGCAGCTTCTGGGGCAGGGTTTTCTGGCACTTTTATTGCCCCCAAATATCTGTAACAGGTGGTGCTCATATCTCTAAGTCAGAGATCTGGCTACTGAGGGCCAGGAAACGGAGTGGAGCTTAACAGGGCTGGCCCCGGGCAGGCTCCGCCCAGGGACCCCACAAGCCCTCCCACGCGGTAAAGGAAGGGGCGACTCAGACTGCAGAGGTAGGTGACTCACTTCCTGGGCAGTGGCTGCGAGCCTCTGCTCTGCACCCTGGAATCTCTTCCCACTCAGATCATCAAAACCGCTACAGCTTCCGGCCCGCAGCTCTGTCCCCACCAGCTGGCCTGGAGCGGGGGTGCAGAGGCAGACCTTCCTCTGCAGAGAGGAAATCGGGAGACCGGGTACAGACGGGGCTCCTGTCTGCTCCTCACGCAGCTGACCAGAGCCTTTCGGGGTGCCCGACGTCCCCCTCAGTCCCACACGCACACACTTCGTACCTTGGTACATTGGGTTGGCACCCCGTAGGTGCATAGTAAATATTTACTTTGACTATAATCTTCCCACGCCCACATTAAGGCCCTCTTCAACCTTCTTTCTTTTGTGTTATAATTTTGCCACCTAAAATTCAAAGTGCCTTGCTCTAGAAGGGTATTTGCTTTTTTCCCCTATTCTAGGCAGCACCCACCAAACCACAAGGTGAGAACCCCTATAAAAGTAACTGGAAAGTCACAGACTGTTCTGGCAAAAGGGGTGGGGGCGGGGACAGGAGGGACTGAGAAACAGGTAATTCCTGCTTATGGGGCTGACTGGCTTTTCGGTTTGGCTCCCAATCAAGAGGTGACTATAAACAGAGGGGAATTTTACCAGGTGCTGAGAGGCTCAAAGTGGAGCAAAGGGAGCTCCAGTGGCTCAGCTGTGAAATGAGAAGAGCTGAGGCCACAGGAGCCAGATAAAACAAAGCACCATTCCCGCTGCCACTGCTCCAGAAGTGCCTCACACCTAGGCCAACACACAAGATCCCATCACAACATTTAACTCCTTTGTGTCCATTTGATGTTTGGGGTCTAAGCAGACTTTCTAACTCACAAACTTAAGCAGTGACTTGTTTTCCCTATTGAAAAGTACTAACCTTTGTGGGACCATCTTGCAATATCTGTCAAAATTTTGGGCACAGTGGCTCACGCCTGTAATCCTAGCACTCTGGGAGGCCAAAGCCAAGGCCTGAGGATCATTTAAGTTCATGAGTTCGAGACCAGCCTGAGCAAGAGCAAGACCCCATCTCTACTAAAAATAGAAAGAAATTAGCTGGACAACTAAAATTATATGGAAAAAAATAATCGCTTCTCAGCGTTTTGGCTAAGATCAAGTGTAGGAAAAAGTCAGCCAGGCATGGTGGCACATGCCTGTAGTCCCAGCTACTCGGAAGGCTGAAGCAATAGGATCGCTCGAGCCCAGGAGTTTGAGGTTGCTGTGAGCTAGGCTGACACCATGGCACTCTAGCCCAGGCAACAGAGCAAGACTCTGTCTCAAAAAGAAAAATAATTTTTAAATGCTCATATCCTGGAAACCATTGATTCTACTTTCAGTTTTTCCTCAGGTATACCTATATATATAAATACAGGATTTCTGGAACATCTCTTAGGGGAAAAAAAATGAAACCATCTAGCTGCCTTTCAATAAAAACTCACTATTAGACATTTGATATTATGTCTGTATTATACAAAACTATGTAGTCATTAAGAATAAGGTGGAAATACATTCATTGATAGGTAAAGATGTCCAAAATAGATCAAGTGAAAACAGAGCAAAATGGCAGACGAATGTATGCAGTGTGACATCTTATATGTAAATCAAACAAAACAATTGCACTCATGCATCTTAAAAACAGGGATAGGCCGGGCGCGGTGGCTCACGCCTGTAATCCTAGCACTCTGGGAGGCCGAGGCGGGCGGATTGCTCAAGGTCAGGAGTTCAAAACCAGCCTGGACTCGAACCCGTCTCTACCATAAAATAGAAGAATTATTGGCCAACTAATATATATTATAAAAATCAGCGGCATGGTGGCGTATGCCTGTAGTCCCAGCTACTCGGGAGCTGAGGCAGGAGGATACTTGAGCCCAGGAGTTTGAGGTTGCTGTGAGCTAGGCTGACGCCACGGCACTCACTCTAGCCTAGGCAAGAAAGCGAGACTCTGTCTCAAAAAAAAAAAAAAAACAGGGATACATTCTAAGAAAGGCATCGTTAGGCGATTCATCATTGTGCAAACATCACAGAGTATATACTTACACAAACCTAGATGGTATAGCCTACTACTGCGGTCCTCAACCCCCATGCCAGCCCAGTACCGGTCTATGGCCTGTTAGGAACCCGGCAAACATCACCACCTGAGCTCCACCACCCCCTACCCACATCCATGGAAAAATTGTCTTCCATGAAACTGGTCCTTGGTGCCAAAAAGGTTGGGGGAACCACTGGCCTACTATACACCCAGGCTGTGTGGCATCTCCCATTGCTCCCAGGCTACAAACCTGTACAGCATATTTCTGTACTGAATACTGGAGGCAATGGTAACACAGTGCTAAGTATTTGTGTATCTAAACGTATCTAAACATAGAAAAGGTACGGTAAAAATGTGGTATAGAAGATAAAAAAAAATGGTACACTTGTACCAAGCACTTACTTACCATGAATGGAGCTTGCAGGACTGCAAGTTGTTTTGGGTGAGTGAGTGGTGAGTAAATGTGAAGGCCTAGGACATGACTGCATACTACTGTAGACTTCATAAACACTGTACACTCAGGCTACACTAAGCTTAGGAAAAATTAATCTTTTCTTTACTAATATTAATAAATTAGCCTTAGCTTGTTGTAACTTTTTTACTTTATAATTTTTTTACCTTTTTTACTCCTTTGTAATTATCACTTAGCTCAAAATACAAGCATATTATGCAGCTATACAAAAATATTTTCTTCATATCCTTAAATTAATTAATTAATTTGTTTTACTATTTAAACTTTTTTGTTAAAAACTAAAACACAAACACACACATTAGCCTTCCTACACAGGGTCAGGATTATCAATATCACTTTCTTCCACCTCCATATCTTGTCCCACTAGAAGTCTTCGGGGATAATAACACACATGAAGTTATCATGTCCTAAAATAATAATGCCTTCTTCTGCAATATCTAAGGGAAACACTTTATTATAAAGTGTTGAAGCACTTGATCTGACAGGCATATCATCAAGAAGAAGAGAAAGGTTGAAATTCACTACCATGGGAGAAAAATTTAGACTATGCAGTCACTACATGCATTCAAATAGTCATTCATTTACATATTCAAGGTTCAAACTGTTATTTGTTGCAGATTGAAAAAAAAAGAGACAGAGAGAGACCTAAGATTTGGCCTCTGTCTTCAAATAGCTTGCAGTCTCTTCCAAAAAAGATGTGCATGTAAATAGATCTATGTTGAGGGTATCTGTGGAGGGTACTCTGGAGACAGGGTTACAGGGTGGGGTAAAGGAGAAAGAAGCTGGGCATGAAAGCCTTCAGAAAGGACAGGATGCCCCACTGAGTTTTAAGGAGAACAACTATGTGTTGTAAGTCCCAGAAACCTAGTTCTAAGCCTGCTTCTCTGCTCCTCCCCAAGTCCTGCAACCCATTTGGGCTTCATCTTCTTTACCTCTAATGTAATCAGCTCCAAGAGTCCAACCCATACAAAATCATTCACTTACCTGACAAATACTTACTGAGTGTCTCAGCGGCCTGCATAACGGAAACCCTGAAATAATAAAAACCCAGAGTGAACAAAGCCACATTGTTACCAGTCTTATAATTCAGGAGCAACCAAAGTTACCTATACATTGGTCAGTGGAGGATAGAGATTCTTAGGTAATGCTGAATGTGGAAATTGTTCTCTTCCTGCCAATGGCCCAGATGTTCCACTATGCCTAAGTGTTACCAGGTTGCAGTGCAAACAATGTGCAGAGAAAGAAAAGCCATTTGCAGGGGCAGGCCACCTCTGCGGACATTCCTTGAAGTGCACTCAACAGAGGGGATAAATCTCCTAGGCTTGAACAGTATTCAAATCTGCAACTGCAAAGTATTGGTGAAGACAGGGCTCAAAGTTTGAACGTTAAGAAATCATAAATGGACTCTGAGACTACCCTGCAAACACTGCATTACAAAAAGAGGTTGAACTTTCGGACATGATAGATCTAGATCATATGACAGGTGGGCAGCAAGGCAAGGAGCAGGGCAGGGAGCGTGGAAGTTCAGGGGAACAAGCAAACCCAGGATGACAAGTAGAGGATCAGGACAGCAATAATTCCTTTGGCCACACCTACCGAAGGAGTTTAGCAAGATTGCTAAGGGAAACAGACTTTCGGTCACCATCAAAATCACACCATATATTATTAATATATACATATCTATCATGGACTTAAGCCTATAAAAGCAAAGTACAGATTTTTTTTTCTAAAGTGTGAAGTTAGTCATTCTCTTCTTCAGCTAAAATAAACATATAAATTCCTTTGAGAAATGTTTACTTTAATTAAGTGGATCCTTTTGACAGCCACGGTCAAGATCATGGTTCCTGGAGCAGGTAAAACAGGTAAGAAGCCCCTCTGAGAGAAGATACCTTAACAAGGCTTACTTCTTTCAGGGTGGGCCACACTTTAAATACAAAAGGAGTAAATGTTAATCATGAATATTTTCCTTGGATCCTGCACATCCAAATTACAGCCCGCCAACTTCCACTGCAGTTTCTCAAGGGAGATGTGCAACATTTCTGTTTATTATTACAAAGTTCAAATACCAAAATCCCATAAGGAATTTTCAGCCTTAATGAATAAGTTGAGCTAAACAATAAAAATTATTTTCGGCTTCAAATCTTTCCTCAAAGCCCTTACCTTAGGCCTTGTCCTTGATATCTAACTAATCCAGTGTCAAAAAAGAGCAAGACACTAGAGAAGGAAACATAATTATTTCCATAATGAAATGGAAATAATTTTCAGTTATCTTTTGCTGCATAACAAACCACCCCAAACTCGGTGGCTTATAAAACAGCTTTCCTCTGCTCCACATGGCACCAGCTAGGGCAGCTCAACTGAGATTAGAGGGTCCACTTCCAAGATAGCCCACTCATATGGCTGGCAGTTTGCTGCTGGCGACCGGTTCCCCTCCACACAGGTCTGTCCACCAGGCAGCTTGAGCTTCCTCACGGCATGGTGGGTGGGTTCCATGAGTGAGTATTCCAAGAAAAAACCACGGAGATGCCATATCACCTTTTCATGTCAAGTCTCAGAAATCATGTAGCATCACTTCTGAAGTAGTCACGAGCCCACTCAGATTCAAGGGGAGGAAACATAGACGCCTCTTGTTGGAAAGATTGCAAATGTCATGTTGTAAGAGAGGGTAGAAGCCAAATATTGTTATGCCCATTTTTAAAAAATACAATCCACCACAGCCCCCCCCCCCAACATCCATTCCACTCCAAACAAATTGCCTGAATTAATTAAGGCAATTCTGTCCCTCTGGGTAGCAACTGGTTCAGGGATAGGCAGGACTACACCATTTTGGGTGGCAAGACTCAAGAAAAGCTCAGGGTTTCTGGGAAAGAGAAGCAAGTCCCTCCCCCTTGAACAAGGAAATACATGTCCCTGATGTGCCACCTGCTGCTGGTGGCTATCCTGTGATTACAAAGGCAATGTGGACCACAGGGAAAGACAGAAGAGCCTGTCCCTGATGGTATCACTAAGCTTATGAATCATCAGCCCTGGAGCCTGCTCTGCTGTGGGACTTCCTTTTATGGAGATAATAATTTCATGACTACTTAAGCCAGCTTGAGTCAACTTTCTGTCATTTTCATGCAAAAGCTTTCTAGCTTACTGGAAGGCTGAATCTTGAAAAAAGAAAAAGGAAAATAATAATAAACAAAAGCTTTCTAGCTTATATAATTTCTTCCTAACAACTGGAAACATTGCTGAGCCCATCCCTAGGCTCTATAAGAGCAGGGGTTGAGGTATGGGGGGCAGGGCAAGATGAAACCAGAGAAAGTCATTGCATTAAAATGTTTAACCCTCAAAAGAGACCACAAGAACCTTTAAATTCTTCATTTTTCACATGAAAGTCCTCATGCCTAATACTAACCCATCACATCCTTGTCCTAGACCCAAAGTATGAGCAAGGAGAAAGACTTTCAATGCCACCTAGAAAGTGGGTGGTGCCACCAACAAAAGGTATTGTGGGGATGCTACAGCCTGTCCTCGAGGCACTGGCAGTCTAACATGGGGAAATGGCACATACTCAAGATAGACTGTATTACATGCCACAAGAAAAATGCAAATAAAGGGCAGTGGTCGATCAATGAAGAGACAGATTCTTTTTAGTTGGAAGAGATAAGTAATTACAAGCTTCATGGAGAAGGTAGTTTTTGAGTTGAGTCTTCATATAGGTAGAATCTGGACATGACAAGTTTGGGAGACCATTCCAGATGGAAGGAAAAAAATCACAAGAACAAAAATCAATAAATGGGAAATTGTGGGACTCCTACAGGCTGAAAGGTCTTCAAAATGTGACCCAGCACTGACCAATCAGAACAGCACCCAGGCTGCAGTTCTCCTGGATGCCAGTTAATGCCTGGCTTGACAGAGGGACTCCGCAGGACAAGAGTCCCTCTGTCAAGCCAGGCATTAACCCTTAAGTTAACTGACTATGGGAATCAGGTAGCCTAGGAGAAAGACTGAAGGGGCTGGGGCTTCAGGTGGATGGCACTCAAGGGTCCAAGCAAAAGGCTATTTAGCAAGTGGTAGAAAAGAATTTTAACATTTTAACAACTAGTGTGGCTGGAGACCCGTGAGAATCAGTTCTTAGCAGTAAGAACCAGCTGGAAAATCAACCCTACCCACAGGCAAGAGAGACTAGAGTCACTTGACTCTGGAGTTCACAAGGAATGATGGGAAATAATGAAAAAACAGCTGGAATTAGGCCACAAAGGAGCTTGCATTCCAAGATGAAGAATTTGGCCAAAAAATTAAGTAATACAGATCCGCTGAGAATGTTCTGATGACACAATCGGGTCACGGGTTGGACACGGATCTGACATGGTGTGGTCTCCTCAGAGTGGAAATTTAACATACATGTGACAACTTGCTGTGGGGTCATTGTGAAAGAAATTTTTTCAACTCTGCTTTAGAACAGTTAAAGACCTAAAAAAAAAAAAAAAAAACTATCAGGGAATACGTGAAGGGCTTCCAACCACCAGCACGAAAGATGCCTAGAAAAATATGAAGAAAACTGTAAATGTGGGCAGACAGTGGAGGACCAGCTGGCACAGGGGCTCTGGCTGCTCTGGACAGGCCATGGCAGTAGGACGAGCAAGGCAGTTAACAAGGGCCAGCAATTAGGGCAGAGGAGAGGCAGGATAACAATAATCACCCCCACATCTGCAAGGTGCAGCTTACAAGGCACATTTTCATTTCATCCACACAGCAATACCGGGAGTAGTAATGAACATTTGTACAACACTATACTATTGATAGAGCCCTTTCATATTTATTATCTTTTTGATCATTATCTCTATTATTCACATGAGAAAACTGGAGCTTGGAATTTGAAAAGAGCTTATCTAGTAAGCGACAGAGCTGGAACTGAAACTCAGGCTTTTACGTTCCTTGTCCAGTGTGTCCACTTCACCAGAGTGGCCTCAGAGACTCTAGGGTCATCCCTTAGTGTTACAAATGTGGCCTCAGTGTTCCCAGCAGCAGGGGTCGATTAGGAGAGAAACCTACAGTTCATATCTTCAAGAAGTAAGCCTTCCAGCCCAGGACTCATATAGAAAGAGCCCCAGCCTCAAGCCTGGGTGAACCTCTCCTGATGCAGGGGGCTCAAACAGTTTCTGGAAGGATCCCATTTCTGTTTTTTTAATCAAATTAGATTCAAAGACCCTCAAAGGCAAGAACCAGGGCTTTTTATCTTTGTATCTCAGACCCTAGCACAGAATCTGGTATTCAATAAATACTTGTTGAATAACTTAATGAATAAATAAATACATATAAGACCCTTAGAAATATGTCGAGATTCCCTCCCCCCCCCCAAAAAAATACAGAGAGTCAGACAACTTTTGAAGCAACAATTTATTTAACATTAAGTCATGAATTTTAAATCACACAGAGTTAAACCAGATATTGGGTCTTTCTATGTGCAGGTTGCTATGAATAACACAAAGATGAGCAAGAGAGATCTGTAATCTCAAGGAACTCACATGCTAGCAGAAAAGATAAAACCATTAACATAAATCCCTTTAGTAGAAAGCAGAATATTATATATCTGTCTCTCTCACCAAAACAAAAAAAGTTAATATTATGAGAATACAAAGGAGAGGAGGGTGGAGATCCTCAAAGCGTCATTGAAGGAGCCATAGAATTTCACCAGAGAAAACTAAAATTAAGAATGTTCCAAATACAGAGAAACTTGAGCAATGGCATAGATGAGAAAGCATAGAGGATTTTTTGGTGATGATTGGTGGTTCCCTTTGGTTAAAGCATAGAGTACATGAAGGAACATGTCAGATAACATTTTGACACTCCCTCCCCAATCTATCATTGCCTCCTGAGACTGTCCTTTCAGGTTATAACCTGCTTCACACTCTCGCACCCCACTCTAACTCCTCTCATCGTGCTGGGTGAGTTCAGCACCCACGGGGCTGACCCACCCAACCCGCCACCCTCACAGCTTCCTAACCTCCTTCAGGCACACTCACCTTAAACTGGAATCATAGCC